AAGCTTGCAACCCACACTTGCACGTGGTTCATATGGAGAGAGAGAGAGAGAGAGGGAGAGAGAGAGAGAGAGAGAGAGAGAGAGAGAGAGAGAGATAGAGAGAGAGAGAGAGAGAGAGAGAGAGAGAGAGAGAGAGAGGCAGGGGCTGGGGGAGGGGGGGGTGTAGTGGAGAGACTAAGGCTTGGTGGTGGATGTTATGAAAGGGAAAGAGAGAAGCAGGGGGTCTATAGCCGAGAAAACAAGGGTTGTGAAATAGAGGGTGTGACTGCATCAAGTTTTGTATAACCAGCAGTACCTCCTACAGTTGTGCCCGTTAACAAGCCACAATTTTAGGAAATGTATGGGCCACTACAGGAGCGCCCAAATTCATCCAACTAGAAACGTTTCAACTCCATTTTTTTCCCACGGCCGATAGCTGGGCCAAGTACTGGTGGTTTAAACCACCAGTACCTCCGGGGCTCTTTTCGCCGGCAGATGTGTCACGTGGAAAACATGGAATGACCGGCAGTTTTTGTTTCTGCTGTCCGCCAAAACGCCTGCCAGGCTGACATTGCCCGAACCTCTGAAGAACCCGGAATGTTGCATTTTCGATGATGAAGTTTCCTTGGGCAAGGTACTGGTGGTTTAAGGCCAGCAAACCGTGGTTCAGACAGAATCTATCAGTTTGATTGGGATGTATTATCGCTGAGTTATCAAAATTTTTCCCCAGTACATACCACGTGCCATTCATGGTCCCTCTTCCAACTATTGAGTACCCAGCGGCCTGCCTATACACATGCCAAGACCTGTTCTTATGGCTGTGACTCCTGTGAGGGATGTATGGGGTGAGCGTTGGGTAGTGAAGACTTGCTAACAGAGGCTTCCTAAGGCTGGAGGAAGACTGCAGAAATCGATGTTTGGTCAATCCGTTTAAGGAAATCAAACTGTTGGACTTCTGTCGGCATGTGTCATATCGGCATGTGTCATATCTCTGTGTGAACTCTGCCAGCCTCAGGGCCTTACTACTCGCCATCTGTCGAAATTCTGAATGAATTCGGACAGGCAGCTTGTCCTTGTGCATTCAGAATGTTGGTGGATGGCGGCACACAGACGTGTACTGAACCGGGGGGGGGAATGGAACATTCTTGCTGCTGCACATGTGGGCAACTGCTGTGGTTGGACCTGGTTGGAGACGATCAGGACGCCTGGCAGGAAGAACCCCTTGTTGACGATGTTACTTTCTTGCCTGGATTGCTGCAGGTTCCGCGTAACATTTTAACGAGAGACAAAGCAGTTTAGCGAGTCGAAGCACACGAGATGGTGGTCCGCGATTCTGAGAATGGAGCTCGGTTTGAGGTGGAAGTAGTGAAGGTAGATGGGGTGCCGTATCCTGAGGTGCAGATGCCGGATTTTACGTATGTGGTTGTCGCTGCTGGGGAGGTCTTCGAAGTCAGATGTCGCTCGCTGGCGCCTTGGCCGCCATTCTTCATAGCAGAATTAGCTATCAATGGGCAAGGTGTTGGGTATATCAGAAAAGGGAAGTCAATGTCAGACTATTGGTCCTCCTTCAACGGTTACAGGACACAGGGAGGAAGCGATGCCCGTTATCGCTGTTTTCAGTTTGCAAGGCCCGAACGGGTGGTCTCCGCGAGGACTTCTGACCGTGGAGATTTGAACTCCAGCGTTGGGAAGATGCAAGTAAGTGTGTATCAGGCCACAAGGTTCAAGTGCGTGAAAGGCCATTGCGAAAAGTGCAAGCACGGGCATCACACTAACACAGGTTCCCCACCCTGTCAAGTTCCAGAAGGTGGCGTTGTGTTTCAGCCAAGTGGGAAAAAGTTTTTCAAGGCGCCCAGCATTACTGTGAGAGGAGGGGAAGAATTGCAGGGATCTCGCTCTTCCTCACCGCCAGCATTTCATTGGCGAACAACATGCTGGATTCCTGTTCTGACTGTGTGCTTCCAGTTCGAGACTGCTGATGTGTTGATGCTCAGGGGGGTGCTTGACGCACACGATCCTGGCCATCTATCTCTTCTGCCAGACCGGCTGCGCGAAGCATATCGTGGACCCATACCAGGGTCCCCAAGGGCAAGGCCTGAGCAACAGGCAGGTGGCCAGGGGACAAGTGTGGTCGCCAACATGCCGGGGACCTCGAGGGTAAGGTCTCTCATGCAGCGAGCAAATAGCGAGAACAGAATTTCTTTGCCCAGACTGCTGAAAGGGAAGACTATATGCCGCGATAACAAAGAGGAAGTGATCGCAAGTAACAAGAGTTCTTTGCGCAGAGCAAACCTGCGCATTGAATCGCAAGATGACGGCCCTGGAGGTCTAGCTGTAGCAGGTCTGGGAGCTGGTGCATCCTCAAGCAGGCAAGTGGCAGGAAACGATGGAGATGTCGGTGGTGGCCATTGTGTACCTCAACCGAGGGGACCCACCAAGCAAAGAGCTTGCAGAAAAAGAGGCGTTCGGGAGATCGTGCTCATTGCACTGAATGATGACGATGATGACGATAGCAACATGGTGGATCTGACAGGCGATAGCGACTACGATTCTGATTGCCGAGTCATCAATCCGCGGAGAAAGGTGATTCCCCTTCCCCTCTCATTTCCTGCACTTTCCTATCATTTGCAAGAAAATAAGCAATGCGAACAGCGGCAAACCCAACTCACAGAAGTCCAGATGTCAGTGAGCCGAAACTGAAAGCAGAAACCTTTGTGTTCCCCCCCCCCCAAAAAAAAAGAAAAAAAAAAGAAAAAGCAGAAAACAAAGCGAGATCACACCAAATAGGAACGAGCAGAGGATCGAACTCTCTTGATAATTGAAGAAGCCCATTCAACGCGACCCGTCCTCGACACAACAACAATGTAGAGTACTATTGGTGGCTATCTGTCGGTTCCACGCACAGCTACTCCTATCATCTAGCCTACAGAGTAGTACAGACTTCTACAACAGGTTCCCCACTTGTCGTCAGCTTCTAGCGCTATTGAATTGCATCACCTTCACCCTTTTGCTCTGTGGCAAGCCAATTTCTTGCTGCCGTGAAATGATGTGTTGTCTGACTCTGCCGTTATCGGATGCAATGCCACTCATCGTAAACCTCGGGGTTTTCTTGCCATCCCAGTACAGTAGTGTCTGTGTTTACACGCCAAACACCTCATCAAGCGTCGTAAACCCTGTGTTTAAACCCTGCGTTACTGTGCCAAGCAACTTAAAATGTGGCGGGCATTGCGAATCCTTGTTGACCCGCAGGGCTTACTTGCCCGGCAGAGCAAGGTAGACCCGGTGTTTACAAGCCAAACCTCTCGCCAATCACCGTAAACCCTGTGTTCAAACCGGGTCTACCTTGCTGTCAAACTGTGTTCATCACGGTTTGAAGTTTGAACACAGGGTTCAAACCCTGTGTTCCCCAACTCACAGATGCCGTAAACCCTGTTGCCTTTTTTTTTTCTTCTTTACGAAGAGCTACGTGAAAAAAACATAATGAAATGATGTCAAACAACTCAAGGCGTGATGGACTGTTTTGTGGGGTTTGTCGACGACGGGCACATGTTGAATATCCATGACGTTCCCCCGCATCCTTTTTGTGTGGAAACCTGAGTGTCCCTGACATGAAAGAATTTGAAAGAGTTCTTCCCAAATCACGGAAGGAAGCTGGGCCCGGTTCCCAGCACGTGCTGCTCCCCACGAATAGATTGGAGCATGTTTTCTTTAAAAAGAAATTTAAAAAAAAATCATGGATGACCTGAGGGTTAATCAAAGGAGGAAATCTGGTCTCCACTCTGTTTCATGGTTCCGGGCAAGTCCGGGACCCAACAAGCCTGGGGATTTTTCCCCTTGCCTGAGAACCAAATGCCAGTGGCTAGCCGCATGAAAGGCACGTAGGTTGATTTTGCCTCTACTGAACTCCTCGTTTGATAAAGATGGTGAGTTTGGGTGCATTTCATTTATGTGAGTCCATCCACAGTTGGTCGATAACACACGGTCCGATGGTCGTGTCCCCACCGAATCGGGAACTGAGATATGGCGTGAAGGCCCCTGTCTGGCATCTCTAGCAGGGGTCTGTAGCTGTAGTTTGCTGGGCTGTGGGTTGATTTTGCCCCTGATTTTGGGTGCATTTCACTTATTTGAGTCTAGGCCCTCAGTTGGTCGATAACACATTGTCAGGTTTCGCACACAGTTCTGAACGCAGATATGGGATGAAGGCCGATGTGTGGCGGCTCTAGCACGTTTTGTATAATTGCACGCAATCGCGCCTGTCTCTTATACACATCTAGATGTGTATAAGAGACAGCCTCGAAACCACCTCTTGTTGGCCTTTTAGCCTTTTAGATAATGCTCACCGGTTAACACAGGGACCTCGTTTCTGGCGCTGCGATGACAGACATTTTGGACACTTGGGCTAGACCTACTTGGCCAGAAAGCTGGGTTGTATTCATTGCCCGAACTGCAGTTGGAAACTGTATGTTGGATGCTGAGACACGTGGGCTAGACCTCTGACATTGTTATTTCCTCCCACTGAGATGACACTTCGGACCGCATGCATGCTTCACTCGGGTTCGAACTTTGAGCAAGTATATCTTTCCAATAACTTTGGAGATATCACTTTGGTCAGCGGGGTCAAATCGTTCCAACCGAGATGTCTATCTGACCATACGATGCCTAAAAGTTCAAGAAGGTGCCCCCCCTCCCCCCAAAAAAAAAGGGGTAACTTCAGTAGAGTCACAAAAACGTGGAGTTATAATTGCACTGTGGGGCAAGATACATTTTGCAATTGGACTCTGGGCACCGTACTTGGCCAGAAAGCTGGGTTGTATTCATTGCCCGAACTGCAGTTGGAAACTGTATGTTGGCCCATAGTGCAATTATAACTCATTTTTGTGACTCTTGCGTAGTTCCCCCCCCACAAAAAAAAGAGCTGTCTCAGGCTATGTTGCACGCCCGGACGCGGCCGGGGGGGGGAAATCGGCCGCGGCCTCGGCCGACGGCCTAATCGGCCAGGTTCGGCCACGGCCGACCAACCGAGTTTGGTGCAGGATTTTTATTTTTATTTCTAACGCATGAAAAACAATATATATATATATGGGCGTGTAGGGCTAAAAAAACCCTACACGCCCATATTTTATTGGGGGGCATTGTTGTTTTCTATTGCGTAACAAAAAATAAAATCAGAAAAAAGAAAAAGAAAAAAAAAAAACGCTTCGAAACCCCGTGCAAGTATGTGTGTGTGTGTGTGTGTGTGTGTGTGTGTGTGTGTGTGTGTGTGTGTGATCGGACGGGGGTAGGGGGGGCGACCCCTCCCCCAGCAATCAATC